AAAAAAAAAAAAAAAAAAAAAAGGAAGAAAAAAAAGGAAAAAAAAAGTATGGAGGTATTTTGTTAGAAATAAGAAATCATGTACAAGAAAGGAAAAAAACTCCTGTCAGCCTAATTCTCGAAAGCAACACACATACAGAAGACCCACACAGCAATATGGTCTAAGTACTAAAAACAGGAAATGTTGTCCCCCAATTTTATATCCAGCAAAGGTTTCCTTAAAATATATCAAACAAATATATATTCTGTAGCATGCAAGAACTTAGTGCCTTTCTTTTAAAAAAATGAGTCATCTCTATACATATTGATTTGAAACCATTTTCAAGAAAATACAGAATAAGGTATCCAGTATGCTATAATTTTTTAAGAAAAAATAACTATACATGTGTGTTTTTAAGTACGAAGAATATCTCTAAACAAATGCTTAAGAGGAACAGAGTAGTTGAGGAAAGGAATGGAAGGGAGGCTTGTTTTTCACCATTAATCTATTTGGACTTTCTGAATTTTGTACCGTATATACATACAGTACATTAACGTTTTCTTTTTTCAAGTGGAGTGATGTGTGCTCATTTTCTCTGTTATTATAATATGCAATCAACAGTGACTTCAGACCTTTCACTAGTAGGCACACAATAAATAATAGCTGTTTTTTTTTTAACTGCATTTTAGTTAACAGGTGATACTAATTTCCATCTCTGTGGTTGCAGATTTACAGATGTCAGCTACGACACCAAATTTTACAATGTGTTTCAGGTAATCTCTCTTCCTCATCTGAAAAAGAGAGACCTGAACTAACAAGGTCAAATATCTCTGCTACATTTAAAATTCTGTGGTTGCAAAGCCCTTTTATTTCTGATGTATTTAGATGGTTAATTTCTTTGTTTTTTTGAGACGAGATCTCACTCTGTTACCCAGGCTGGAGTGCAGAGGCATGATCACGGCTCACTGAGCCTTGACCTCCCAGGCTCAAGTGATCCTCTTACCTCAGGCTCCCATGTAGCTGGGACTATAGGCATGAGCTACCACCTCCAGATATTTTTAAAATTTATTTTTATTTTATATTTTTTTTGTAGAGACAGATTCTCACTGTGTGCCAGGGCTGGTCTCGAACTCCTGGGCTCAAGCAATCCTCCCCACTTGGCCTCCCAAAGTGCTGGGATTACAGGCATGAGCCACCATATCTGGCCTTAGTTAATTTCTAATATGGCTATTTC